CTTGTAGCCCATTCAAGCCTTGTGCAGATCTACAATCTTGTCTCTGACATCCTTTGACAGCTCTTTGGCCTTGACCATGGTGGTGGGAGAGGTTGGAATGGAAGATACATATTGTGTGGACAGGTGTCTGGTACACCTAACGAGCTGACATTAGGAGTAACTTCTTAAAGTGACAGGACTAATCTGTGTTCCACATGGGCACATAACCAGTCTGTGGGAGCCAGAATTCTTGCTGGTTGGTAGGGGATCAAATACTTATTTCACTCACTGAAATGCAAATCAATTTTTAACCTTTATATAATGTGTTTTCCTGGATTTCTTGATTGATATTCTGTCTCTATCTGTTAAAATAAACCTACCATAAAAAATACAGACCCTTCATTTCTTTGTAAGTGGGCAAACTTACAAAATCAGCAGGGGATCAAATAAATATTTTCCCAACTGTATATATATTAGAGTATGCATAAATTCCCATTACCTGGATTAATGAATGCTTTTAAAGTATTGATATCTAATGCACTAATTAGTGAACCTTATTCCAAAGTGTTACCAAGAAATCATGTTTTGAGTGATGTTTACAAGCATAGTTTAAAAGGGATAGTTCACCCAAAAATGAAAAATGTTACTCTCCCTCAGGCCATTCAAGATGTAGATGATTTTGTTTCTGCATCAGATTTGAAGAAATGTAGCATTGCATCACTTGCTCACCAATAGATCCTCTGCAGTGAATGGGTGCCATCAGAATGAGAGTCCAAACAGCTGATAAAACATCACAATAATCCACACGACTCCAGTCCATCAATTAACATCTTGTGAAGCCAAAAGCTGAATGTTTGTAAGATACCAATCCATTGAGGTTTCTAACCTCGAACCATACCTTCCGGCTAAAATATGAGTCCATAATCCATAATAACACTCCTGTGAAAAACTCGTCTGGTCTGAATCAGGAGAGAAATATGCACAGCTCAAGCACCGTTTACAAGCTAAAACAGTTCAGAACAGTTCTAAATAAATATGTGGGTGGATTTTGATGTGACAGGACAGCAGGGGATGGAGGAAGCATTATTATGGATCATGGACTCGGTTTGAAGTTAAAAACGTTTCATTCTGACAGCACCCATTCACGGCAGAGGATCCACTGGTGAGCAAGTGATGGAATGTAAAATTTCCCTAAATCTGTTCCCATGAAGTAACTCAGTTTTCATTTGTGGTTGAACTATTCCTTCAACTACGTGACTAATTCCTCTAGCAGCAGAATTGTGACTGACATTCATTCCCAGCTGCCCTCGGGTGGCACCTGTAAGTGCCGCTGACGTAGTTTCTCTCTCACAAGAGCCGCCACACCAGATTCCACAGAGACGTAGCTTCTGTTGGCAGTGTCTGAAGGATGGACGGTGCCAGCGGTGTCTTTCCTCTGGTGGAGTGGAGTCTGACACACCTGGTGGCGTACAGTGTGTGTGTTTAAGAGTGTGTGGTTGTGAAGTACACCATGTCAACAAGCCATGATGGGCAGCAGAAGCCCACAGACACCTACTGAG